CCCCCGCCCTGCGCCCTGTCCTCACAACGCGCAGGCGCGGCCGCTGACAGCAGCCCCACCCACTCTCCTCCCTCCCCTCACGAGACGCTTCCTTCCGGCTCCCCAAACTGGTCCGCAGGAGCGGCCGAAGACCGGCGTGAGCCACGCCCACTTAATCTGCATATTCATAAGCGGGACCGACGGGCCGGGCGCTCTATAAAGGCGAAGGGGCGGGGCTTCGAGCGCCACGGACCCTCCTCCTCCTCCTCCTCCTCCTCCTCCTCCTCATGAATTATTCATCAAACGGGCCTTTCGGGGTCCCTCCAAAGGTTAAGGCGAGGTCAGGGTCGTACCACTCGAAGACGCGGAGGGGGGGGAGAGAAAGGAAAGATGGGAGCTTCCAATCCAACCCATCTCAGAGCGGCCGTCTTTTCCCCCTCGCCGCTCTGACCTGAAAACTGGAGAAGGGAGACGGAGCCTACTTCCGGTTGGTTGCCATGGAAGCCGGAGTCAACTTCCGGCGGCTGTCGGCGAGCCGGGAGGACTTGAACGGAGGAGGGAGGCGGTGGGCGAAGCGCCGCAATTATGCCTCCGAAGGAGAAAACCAAGCGCAAACAGGTAGGCGCCGCCGTGACGTCGTCGCCCCCCGTGACGTCAGCCCGCTGCCTCGTGACGTCAGCCCCTGCAGGATCCGGATGGGGTAGGTGGGTGGGGGTAAAAAGCTCAAGCCGAAGGTGGCTCCCGCTAAAGCCACGGTTTGGCTTCCCGTTGCAAAAGCCCCAAGGTTGGCCTTGTGGAGAATGAATGGAGAGTTCCTAGGACTCTGGGGAGCAGGGTTCGAATCCCCCGCTCAGCCCTAGAAACTCTCTGGCCGTAGTGAACTGAAATACCCCTGAAATACCTCATTTACATACCTTGAAAGCCCCTGTTAGGATCACGGTGAGTTGGTTCTGACCTGACAGCACAAAACACACACACACATGCCTCTGTGTGTGTGCGCGCACAAAGGGATAGGGAAACCCCCCCCCCTTGATCAATCGACATGAGGAAGACAACCGCACATTCAACAAGCCGTTGTGCATGTGGAAAAAGCCGACAGGATTTTGGACCTTCAGTATATATTCAGAAGTTTTAGGAAATCTTTTCGATCAAATCTACAAAACAAGAATCCTTCCTACAATTTGCCTGAGATGCACCTCTATTCTCTCTTTCTCTATTATATAATTTGTTAACAGGGTGGAATACAAATTAAAGATATATAGTGGTTTACTATGTAATAAATGAGAAACAATAATTTAATGTATAAACAGATGACATAGAAGTTGAAAAGTTTTATTACCCAAAAAGAAAAAATGCCAAAGCTTGTAGTAACTACAGAATGGCAAGACAGTTAACAAGCCTTTTCTTTAATGTATTCTCAAAAGGCTTTCACGGCCAGGATCCAATGGTTGTTGTAGGTTTTTCGGGCTCTCTGGCCATGTTCCGGAGGTTTTTCTTCCTAACATTTCGCCAGTCTCTGTGGCCAGCATCTTTAGGGGTCACTGGTCCTTGTGGCTGGGTAGAGTACCAGTGATCACTGCACACAAAAGGCCAGGTAATGACACCCATCAATCACACTGACAGATCATCTCTCCCCCTTATCACAACAATACACCCACAACAAAAAAACACCCTGATCACCATAATCACCCAACCTCCTGAGAAGGACAGAAAGCTAATTCCACAGCAATAAATACTCAACTATCAAAAATACCCTGATCACCATAATCACCCAACCTCAGCAATAAATACTCAACTATCCCACAAACGGACTCCTGTCCTCTGAAGATGCTGTCCATGGAGACTGGTGAAATGTTAGGAAGAAAAACCTCAAGAACATGGCCAGACAGCCCAAAAAACCAACAACTTTTTGTTGAAGTTTTCCTTAAAAGGAATACTTGGCAGAATGTACAAGTGCAGAGAAAAGGCAGGAGACAAACAGTTTGGATACAGAGGGAAGTCTGGAACAAGGGAATCACTATTTTGTCTTCTTGAGCAAAGATGACATGACAAGAATGTGGATCTGTATGTTCAGTTGACTGTGAGAAAGCCTTTAACAAAAGTCAACCTGGCAAGCTGATGGAGTTTATGGTAAGCAAAGGTCTTTGTTCAAGAGATATCGGGAACAGGTAGAGCAGTGCAAATGATCATGAAACAGCCTGTTGTTTAAGACCTGCTGCATCTAAAGTCAGAATAGCCACGGTGACTTCCAGCTTCCTGGAGAAGGGAAATGGGGAGAAGAAGGACAGTCTTTTTCCACGGATACCTCAAGGGTCTCCCGATATGGGAGCTAGACCTGCGTCTGAGTCATCCTCATGCTCCTTTTTCTGGTTTGTACCCTTTTTTCAGACCCCTGTTCCTGACATGTCAGTGTATTTAAGATAGGGCCTGAGTAACACAGGGTAGAAAAATCATGTGCAATTCATTTTAAAAATCTGTTGGAATTGTTGCTATCTTCAGGAGCATGTTTACCAACTTTAGCACAGCCATAGCTTCAGTAAATGCATTATCATTCCCTCCTTAATTTTTTAAAAAAACCCTTTCCACAATAAGTCTCCTTGTTTCTTTAAAGGGTCCCAAGGGAACTTTGCCATATTTTGAGGCCTCACCAGCACACCTGACCCGTCCCATGCTCCTGCTGTAATGTGTTTGCTTGATTTATATTCATTTTATGTCTGATTCAGCAAAGTTGACTGCAGGATAGTTGACTGACAAGATACTCGAGCTGTGCATAATTGTTTGTCTCCAAGCTAGTGCCCCAAACCATCTTTATGTCAGTGTACAGTATAAATTTCTCTGATTCTATTTTTTACTCTAAACTGGTAGATAGGATAGCCAAATAGCATTGCATACACCTGGGGGACAGGAAAGTTCTAGGGGTCAGATCACACAGATCAATACCAATACTAATATCGTCAATGTAAATTGTTGTTTTAATTGTTTTTATGAATAATTTTATTGTGAGCCGCCCTGAGTAGATGTATGTCTAGAAAGGTGGGATAAAAATCTGATAGATAGATAGATAGATAGATAGATAGATAGATAGATAGATAGATAGATAGATAGATGGATAGATAGATAGATAGATAGATAGATAAAATACTTCTACACTATTGGGGAGCAGGCCAGATAGGTGGGGCTTGTCAGCCTTGGAAGGCAGCCCATCTAGGAGAAGGAAAACTCCAATTTCAAACCTCCACTGCCTTGTGGCTATATCCACTGATGGAAAAGGCTTCAGGAGTCAACCTTGAGGCAAAATCCAGAGCTGGATTCCCGGCGGCAGTTCATGTCGTTCTGGCAACTCCTGCGATGTTACTGGAACCAGTTGTATTGGCTCTTGCCTTTCCATTGGACTATTTCAGTGATGTGGAGAGGGGGGATTTGATGCTTGGGTAACAGCCTATCCTTCATATTATTTTACCCAAGATTCGTGCTCTGGAGAGGACACTCACACAGACCACGTTACCATAGTCTCCCGAGACTGAAGGATGCCTAACCAGTATAAAACAGTTTAGAGTGGCCTTTCAATTATCCACGTTGCCAAAGCAGTGATATTTTTGGAACAATTTGGGCCAGTGAATGTAGGTATTGTGAAAACTATGTACTGATGGCACAGAGATAGTTCAGTTACGCATGACTCATGCCTGCCATATCCACGGAAGCCAAAGGGATGTAAGGAAGTCTCGAAAGTAAACAGTGTCTGGTATCTTAGTCATTATCCAGCAGATGTTTCCAGAGATTCCTTCTCTTTCAAGAAGTACAACTGCAGCTCTGTATGTGTCAGGCATACAGTAGCTTCATGCAGGCACTTCGCTGAATAGTGTATAACCCAGTTGCCCTGCTGAAGCCAGCCATGGGGACATGAAAATGTGCTGTTAGGGGGGAAAAATAAAGTCATTTGAAATGTGTTCTGGCTGACATGTTTTTTTGTGTTTTTTTTGATACCATGGGTTGCTAGAAAGGCAAGCACGGGATAGAATCAAGTCTGAACTTTTGCTAGAAGCTAGAAGAACTAAGCTAACCTTGTTTGTCCTTTGGCTACCTCACTGAAGACAAAACTCACTGGACAAGACAACAATACTAGGCAAAATTGAAGGCAGTAGGAAAAGAGGAGGACCGAATGTGAGATAGATTGACTCCCACAGCCTTGAGTTTGCAAGAGCTGACCAGGATCTTAACGATTGAACCTTTGGGAGGTCTGAAGTCCAAGAACATTTGGAGGGCCACAGTTTGAGACCCCTGATCTTAACGATTAAACCTTTGGGAGGTTATCAATTCATAGGGTTACCATAAGTGGAAAGTGACTTGACAGGATATAGCTGCAACAACATGATTATTTGAAATTGTAAAATAAGGAATTATCATGAATCTGCATAATTGCACACAGTATTGCATTAAAGCAAAGGAAAGAGGTATACAAACCCATTTTTACAGTTTCAGAGTACAGTACTTAGAACAAGATGCATATACTATAACTTGCTTTGACACAGTTTGGACCTATATGAGCCTGCTTCTCTTTCCCTGATTCCCCAGAGAAAGAGTTCTTCCTCCTCTTAATGGATGGCTTTCCAGACAGTGAAAGTAGTCTTCACTATCTCCCTCTGCTTAATTTTCTTTCCTAAAGCATCTTTCGTGCAGGGCGTCCTCTGCTGATTAACCCCTTGCAGCCCAGTAAGTATGTGCCAGTGGAAAGAATGAGCACAAACAAGCGTCAGCAGACCCGAGGAGATACCATCCAAGGCCTAAATGCGTAGCTCTGAAGGGATCTTCCTTAGCTTGTAAGCCTTTTGAGGACAGACTGTGCAAATATATTTAGGAAAATTGCGAGGAGCCATTCTGAGAGCCCACCTCTCACCCCCGGCTTGCTTTTGGATTATGTACAAGGATCACATACCTTTTTTTCCTTTCCATTTTTGTTATATTTCACCAAATTATCTTATCCATGTGCCAGTTTTAAACATGGACAGAGAATCCTTTTTGGTTGTTCTTCAGTTCTGCAATTCTTTTCTTTTCAGAGTCAAGAAATCTTAAATAGGAGCATCTTTTAAATCAATATACTGTAGAATACTCATATGGGGAGAAGCATTTAGAAGCTAAGGCTGCAGTCCTATACACACTTATTGAGAGTGAGACTGAATGTCTGAATAATCTTGCACTGTAAATAACAGTCAAATTCTTTCAAGTGTTGATGTCAATCCATTCAGATCTATTTGTGTTTCTACATGGCTGCTATTCATGGTATATTTATGTTCAGTAATAATGGTGAACATTGATTCTGTTATTAAATATGTTCTTCTGCTGAAGGTGCCCATAGGGGGCAGTTCATCATGTAATATAACCAGTAACATGACAAATATAACTGCAAAGGAGTAAGAGCAGAAGGTTACATATAATACAGTTGCTGTGGCTTTCGTGCCTAGCAGTGACCTGGACCCAGATCCAGAGGTTTAGGAAGCAGTGGTGCCAGTGGAGGAAGCGCATGAGCACAACACCCCAGAGATACCTGAGCCGGATATGCCATGACATGTTGGCCAAGAACTGTGGACCCTGACCTTTGTTTCCCCAATGGTCTCCGACAG